TTCTCTAATCTCGTTTGTTATCTGGCTATTTTGTCTACTTGTTAGCACTGTTACTGATGTATTTTGCAACATGGCAGCTTCTATCTCATCACCAAGGAAAACTTGATGTGGAATACTATCCACAACTCCTACGACTATTTCATCTTCAAAAGCTGAACATTTTAAATATGATTTAGTTAGTGGTACAATATACCGCGTCTAACTTTTTTTCCAACCAGAGTTTTCCAACTAATAGTTTTCCTTAACACATCTACGTCTTTTCCATACATCATCACTTTTTCTAAATATTTATTTGAAATTTTCTCTCTGTCGTCAATAAAACAAGTTACATTACCTTTCTTTTTCACAGTTTTGTTATTCCGCTTACAGAATTTAGTTTCATGTCCAACTTGGTCACATATATACACATTTTGTTGGAAGTTTCTAATTTCTCTTCTTGCTTATCAAACTTACTCTGTGGAGAAGTTTACATTACAATTCTTGACGAGTAGTGATCCAATTTTATTGTTTGTGATAAGTATTTTTACTAGATTGATTTTCACCTACTTTCAACCCACAATATATCCTCGACACTACGTATTCATCCGCTAACGTCACTATCTCGCGTACCTTTGCTGGTTTTCTCTCTTTTAACCATTTTATTAACTGCATTGGTAATTTTGTCAGTTTCATTTTTGAGCATTAAACCTGCAATCCTGTTAGTGTCTCCTATACAGTTAGATCCTTCAATCCATTGAACTAACAACTCATGCAGCCATGTTCTTTAAATGTCTCATTTACCATTTTATCCAAAACTCTGAACTTCCTGTGATAAGTTTCCAGACTTAACTCATACTTTCTAAAATAGCTGATTATATTATATCACACATTCGTCTGCGTTCTCAACCTTCTAGTGTGTTAAGCCTTTTTGGGTAACGCAGGAACTAGTTTCTTCACCATATCCTGTTGCTACCATTCCTCTGCTATCACTACTTTTCAGAAAAATGAATCTATATCGCTTTCACAAAATTTATGCAACTGCACATGGGTGCTTCTTTCATACATATCAACCATATCACCAGAAGTACCTTGCCTTCCACTCATCATTAACTCGAGTTTTGTCTGCTTATTGCTATAATATAACTCTACTTTTTAACATTTTTATCAGCTCTACTTCCAGTCCTTTGTTCACAGCTTCCAAATGTTTCATTTCTAACTGTATCTTAGCATGTTCTAAATAATTACCACAATAACCTTCGTGAACACCACTAGTAGTTCCCGGTTTTTTCATAAAAGTTGGAAAAATCATTTGTTGTGACTCCTGCCTCAATGAACCACATACGTTACAACCAGTAAAAATAAACTGAACCATCATCGAAACCAAAACGGACAAGATAAAAGAAAAAGAATCCCACTTCTGACACCACTTTGTTATAGACTGCTCTTCTAGTACTACTTTCTTAAAATCGTACCATACTTGCACTTCTTTTCCCTTCAACTTGCTTGTTCCTATCAGGAATTGATTCATAGTAATATTCATAACAATATGCTATTTATTACTACAATCAACAACACATAGATTGAGAACTAAGTTTTGTTTCCTACTGGCAACATATTAATTATTTCTTCCTTCATTCATTTCTCTCTCTTACATTTCCTGGTCTTCTTTTATCACTGCCTGCTCCTCACGACAACTTGTGAAGTCAGACAACCATATTTTGTATTTGGTTTGGTTTTATTATGCACAACGCTATACAATGGGACGTTTGTGCTGTGCCCCTTATTCAAATTCATCCTCAGAAGTAGAAACAAATCATTTTATAGTAGATTTAATTAACTTAAAATCATCCAACTTCTTCGTTATAGAAGAAATCGGTCCAGTGGTGCACGATTAGTGCCCCCCCCCCCCTAAGAACACCGCGCTACGCACTTTGGAGCAGTAATGGTCAAATACTTCGATCTTTCAAGTTCGTTTAGCTTTACGTGAAATTCGACAAAGAAGCTCCATCGTTTTGGCCTATCTTTCCTCACGTATTTCTAGACGCGACTTTTTCTGGAATATGTTTCAACTCTTGGACCCCTCTAACAGATGTAAAACTGGAACTTTTTTAGGGCATTTTAAAGAACATTTTTACACTAAATCTAGCCGTGGGCTTTTTGTTTGATAACACTGGACAGAAGTTATCACCAAACGTCATTTTACACTAGGAAATCAACACTTTGATCAGAACTTAATCGATGGAATATTCAATATCTGTATTTTAATTTGCGTTTGATGTACGAACTGATATTTGATTTTGCGCATGTTTTGCTAATTTATCAATTAATAGTGAGTATTGAAGATAATGTAATATACAAATTTATGTTACTTCAATTTATCTTAGTTATAGTGTTATATTAGTGGAAGAAAAAAACTACATTTCAGACTTATTTGAATTAAGAATTTTACCATCGTTATAAAGAATAAAGATAATCTACACGTTGAAAGTTAAAAAGCTATTGACATTTTGTTGTTTTGTGTGAATTAACGTTAAAAACAGGGTTGACTACATTACAGCTATTATTAACATTCAAATCAGAAAGTCATATGACAACCACAGCTGTGGAACAGAATGTATCAGAACTAACTTTTGCAATTCCTTGGCTTTGTGTACAAAGGATACGTAACACTCCTTTCCGAAGCAAAATATTTATACACCAAGATCATAAAAAATGTTCAACTTGGGGATTTAGAATTTCCAACATGAGGATATCCTTTGTACTTAATTAATGGTATTGGGAAAAAATTGTGGATCAACTTGGGACACCATAACCATCCAGGAAGCACCTGCAACAAGTAATACCACCAGTAATGGTAAGCAAGTTGTGGTGAAAATCCATAAATGTCAATGACAAAAGTCGTCTATGTGATTCAGGTAACAGTACGAAACAAAACCAGAAGGATCGCCATACATGTCATGTGCACATAAGCAACTTCCATTATATATCCGTTCAACCCCCTTATTGCTCAAGCAACTAGAACAACATACGAAGACATACCACCCAAATCGCCGGAAACGTCGTCTATGGATTTCTGTGAAATCAGAATATTGAAACGGGCGTTATGAAACTGTCTTTCCCGTACGCTAGATGGCTTATGGAAAGCATGGCGAGAGGAATGATATAATTTAGGCATGAAAGCCATAAGACGGAACCTTTGAAATGGAAACTATCCTAAAGGCGTATGGTTAAGATGCGTGGCCGTCAGAGAGCATGATCAGACGTGACAACATGGACTTACAGCTACGTAATGAAGCCCCAAAAGCGTTTTAATATAACGAACTCTGCCCTCTGTATATTAAAACTATCAACTAATTTTTACAATTCATCTATATATTACCTGCTTGTAGCTTCATCATAGAAGAATGGACAATATATTTTAAGAAATGTCAAAAGTCTTTGTAATTAGGCTTAGCAATGACTCTAAATGCATGGTTCTGCAATCTTGTTTGATCAACTTGGCATTCAATTAAGTTTTCAGACAGTTTTACGTTCCACAAAAGTTAAATAACAATTATGCTTGTAATATCTAGAGAAAGAGTTAAAACTAAGAATTGCTTGGGTTTAATCGGAGTACATACACAAACCTATTTGCTCTTTTACAGACTGATTGCACTAAAAATCACTTTGACTTGAATTTTGTGATTTGGTGTGTATAGTTAACGTTTAATAGTTGTTGTATCTTAAATTGCATCATTATTTTTTTTAAAAGCTAGACTTTTAAACTGAGTGTAAAAAAACAGCATATTTTATGAGTTTCCTGAGTGCTCTGTTAAGCCTAACACTATGCAAATAGGTTGAAGGCTCTACTAATAGAGCCAAAATTTATTACTTTATTCACTTCGCTAGGAATAAAAACATTATCAGTTAAATAATCACCTTATTAGAGTATTCAAAGTGTACTGTTTTTTATAATAGTAAGTATTAATAATGCAATTTAACAACCATTTTCTAAGATATTCGCGTTTAATGCGCATGATTCTATTTCTGTTCAAAGTAAGAGATTTCCCTGAATGAGAGAACTGTTATGAGAAACGAGAGTTAAAAGTACATAAAAAAGAAAAAAAAACCGTCCAACAAATTTCGTTTTTCGACTTCTGCTGTGTACATTGCATAATCTTGAATACTACATAATGTTTGTTCCGAATAGTAAAAGGAAAAATGCTGCTCATTTGGGGAATCACACTTGAATGCTGCACATTTGGGGAATCACACTTGTGTGTTCCAAAACTGACAGAATCTTTTAAACCGTTTTTGATCTTTCGGATAAGGAAAAACACAGGATTATCAGGAAAACCTTTTCATCATATTCAATAAAGGAATTGGTCTGGCCTGTATAGAACGTTCTAGGCAATATAAGTTAATTTTGAAATTACGCTAGTAATCCGTTAGAGAATATAGTTATTTATAATTGTCATCAATACTTTCAAGACATTGATTTGTCATATCATGTCGGTTATGATTTGATTATAGATATTTGATCAACTCTGAAGGTCAGTACGTAACATTATAAATATAGAAATATTTTTTATTATGATAACATGTGATTCTGAGCTTATGTTTTTTCAAGATGCATCTTATTCTTTACAAAAATATAAATCAATGTTAAATTCAGTACCAAATACATCTATAGTAAATGTCTAATTTTTTTTTTATAATACTTTATCTAGAATAAAGTTTTTTATATCAACATTTGTATAGCACTAGTTATTGGGTAAAACACTTACCACATAAAGTACAAAATAAAAACTTTGGTAAAATATTCCATATATTTGCAGCTTATCATAGTTTTTTTTCTATTTTCCTTAATGAACTCGATGCTCTGTTGTTTATTTAATTACGTTTTAAATTATCATATTAATTTAATTTGTGATAACTATATTTTCTATTTGTGTGCTTTCCTGTTTATATATATATATCAATATATCATACGGAGACATTTTTTTTAACAAACATTTTATTTTTATTTTTGTGTCAATTAGCTCCAAGCTACTAGAAGAGAGAGAGATGGTGGAATCCGGATTGGTCTTCAAGCGTTAGGGATGGCGTTGTTTTCTTAGCGTCAAGAAACGTAATTAAACCTGTGTATTTTACTAGGGCTTTTCAACCCAAGAGTTCAGTTCTATCACGATGATGCCTGTGTCCACAACATGAAACAAATTCAAGCACATCCTCTCCTCAAGGCTGAAAAAGACATGTACACTTTAACCAAATCGTTCTCAATTACTTGTTTACCTTACAGTATTCACTGATTATTTTATATTGTGCAGAAGTTCTGTTTGTAGGTTAAAAAACGAAACTATATTGGTGGTTAGTAAAAACTGAAGACAAATACAAACAAACTTAACAAACTAAAGGTGCTGACGATAGAATTTTGTTTTTCTACTTGACAGTTAAGAGAATTCAACCTAGATAAAGTGATTTATTGGATCTTTGATATGAATCCTAAAAGCACAGTTATGTGTGTTGTTTGCCTGTTGTTGAGAGCACTGGTCGTCAGTACTATATTATGGTTGGCTGTTTACGACTTGGGTGCCAGTGCACTGAAAGCCCACATTCCAGGGGACATCATCTTTGGAGGGCTTTTCCCTATTCATAAGAAAAACGCAAAAAGCAAATGTGGTCCAATTAATAAGGATCGTGGCATTCAAAGAACGGAAGCAATGTTATTCGCCATCGACAAGATAAATCAGGATCCTTCCATTCTAGGGGACATCAAACTTGGAGCTATCATTCTAGACACATGTTCCAGTGACAGTTACGCCCTCAACCAATCCTTGGAGTTTATCAGGGCGTCCATCAATACCGTAGACTCTTCAGCTTTCGAGTGTCAAGACGGAACTCATCCCAAACTAAAGTTCAGTAATAAAGCAATTAGGGGGGTGATAGGGGGCTCTTACAGTGAGGTTTCTCTTCAAGTTGCGAATCTACTTAGACTCTTCCGAATACCTCAGGTCAGTCCAGCGTCTACTGGTACCTCACTTAGCGACAAAAGCAGATACGATTTCTTTGCTCGAACTGTTCCTCCAGATACCTTCCAGGCTGTGGCTCTAGTAGACCTTGTGCAACTATTTAACTGGTCCTATGTTTCACTTGTGTCCTCAGAAGGTCAATACGGTGACTCAGGAATGAAAGCATTCCAACAAGAAGCGCGTGCTAGGAATATATGCATTGCCGTGAACGACAAGGTTCCTCATTCGGCCTCAAAAGCAAAATTTGATGAGATTTACAGAAACTTGTTAACTAAATCTAATGCTAGAGGAGTAGTGCTTTTCACAAGAGCAGAAGATTCGCGAGGAATTCTTGAGGCTGCCAAACGAACCGGTTCCGTTAACACGTTCGCTTGGGTGGCTAGTGATGGTTGGGGAACACAGGACAAACTAGTTGAAGGACTTGAGGCCGTTGCTGAAGGTGCCATTACAGTCGAGTTGCAGTCCAAAGAAATAAATGAATTTGATTGGTATATGAAGAATCTGACTCCCTTAAACAACCGAAGAAACCCTTGGTTTGAGGAGTATTGGGAAGATGTGTTTTCTTGTACGCTCCCTCATAATGTAAACCATCAGATTAACAACACTGTACTTGTATGTTCGACTAATCTAAGACTAGACGAAAGCGTTGGTTATAAACAAGAGTCTAAAGTTCAGTTCGTCGTAGATGCAGTCTACTCTATTGCCCATGCCCTCCACAGAGTCTGGGAAAACTTGTGTGGCCCTTATGGAGAAGGTTATTGTGAAGAAATGAGGGAATTAGACGGTGGTGTCCTCTATCGAGATTATTTGCTTAATGTTTCATTTATTGGTAAGTTTGAGTACATTTCAGCTTTTTATTATTTGAAATTGTCATTTCAGAAATTTATTGTTTAACCAGAAATATTTTATGATGTTGTGGGTGTTACAACGAATGGGAAACGGTCAAAAGATCAAATATAACATCAATTAAATTAGAAACTTTGGAGCATAATTTTAGTTTCTTCAAATCAAGCACTCTATAGCTCATGGTAATGACATGCGCATATGTTATTAAACATGTGTTTATTCACGACATATGAAGGATTGAGTGAAAACGAAAGCTTCACACACGTTGCGCTAGGTAACTTGAAGACTTGAAGGCTTCAACAGCAAATAATTATAAAGTATGCATTATAACATATTAAACACGTGATGTGTAACACTTTCAAAGTATAACAGAAGCTAAAGTAACACCGAACTCTGGTACTCACTTTTCTTCTTCTCTAGCGGTCCAGAGCTGCGTAAGCTACTTTTCCTAAAGATAAATGTACGAGAATAGTTTTCCAGAAGTCTCTCGTCTACTGTAAAATCTAATAGAAAAGGCGGCTATCGTGCAGACGTCTTAGGTGTTGTTTTTTTTTATGATATGTTCACGCTCCTTACTGGATATGCTTCAAGATTTATCACACTTTGAATTGACAGCCCTGAACACTTATCCTAAGTTTGTTATGAAAAATTCCTGGTTAGTTCTCGATATCTAATGACTATGAAAAGGAAAACTTTTTTATACTCATCTGATGTTTAACTCTCATGTTACCGAATTGTATTAATACTGTTCACTTCCGACAGGGCTCAATGATTGCATTACATTAAATAATTTTATGTTTTTGTTTGCTACAACAACCAGTATAAAGAACTGACTAAACCAAATTGGATTTTTGTTTGTTGTTAAGCACAAAGTTACATAATGTGATGCCAGTGCTGTGCACACAACAGGTCTGGAAATCCGGTTTTTAGCATTATAAGCCTTCCTGAACTACTGGAGGACACGAAATTGAGTGAAATCACTCATTTTATATATATAATACACAGAAAACCCCAGCCATGATCAACTGAATTTATTACCATGTTGACATGTTTTGGTTTAAATTCTTATGTAATTCGTATGTCATTAGTGATCCTGTTTTGAACCAGCAAACACTTTTGCATAAATATTTAAAGAATGTGTTTAGAAATCCGATGACTTCATTAATTCTAGAGTTAATATTAATCCAGAAAAAATATTAGATTGAAACATTTTATTTCTTATATAAAACGCTTGAGAATATCAGACAAGCTAAAGCAATGTTTGGTTTTACCACTACCAGAAGATTACTTCTACAGCTTTCACTTGTTTATATCGGTTTTGGATTCTTAATGAATGTAATTTGTTTCATATTACAATTTCTAATGAAACCGAGCTAAATGATAATTTAAATTTAGCATTAAGTAAAAACTCATATATGGTCAGTTTATGATATTTGCCAACAAGATTGATACACAAAGTTTTCTTTTTTTTAATACAAATATATTTTAATACACAAAAAACAATACAATTTACAATATATAGTTATTACGAACAATGATTTATATACAAAAGTTTCACAAACTTACAAGCAATATAAAGTCTTCTTTCTAGTCCGGAACTTCCTTAATATCTTATCGAGGGTTGACGATGAGCGAGTTAATTTCGTAGGTTAACTGGCGTAGGTATGATACACTTAACAGGAGTTACTAGCCATGTAGTTCTCGCTGATCACACGTCGATTACAGGTCGAGTTTCCACCGATGACGTTTGGTAATGTTTTCGTAAAAGTACTAATGTCCGATGTGAATCCGCTGAAGTTGAATGGTTTCTAATGTTCGAAATTTATAAACGTTCCTGGTCAAATATCTGAAAATTCCCGATTAATTAGCGTTATAACAATCACAGTTATAGCTTCCGAAGTTTATAGCAAACCAATAATAGATACTGTTTTTTGGCGCGTCACGTTGGTTATTCTTATAGGCGTGTGGAGAGTTTCTCGAAAATTCAGATTACGTAACAATACAAAGGCTAAAACTAGCGTTTACGTACACAATTATACTGTTGATTCTTACACTCGAGAATCTTCTAAAATTTTAGA